AATACCCAATTTTATCTGGGTCTCTTTCAAAAATAAATTTCAAAATAAAAAATTATTAAATATAAATTTATTTTTTAAAGAGGTTAAGAAAATAGATAAAAAATTAATTTAAAATTTAAATTCAAAATTTTAATTTTTAAATATAAAATCAGATTTAGAAATGGTCAAGTAGTTAGTAAATTTTTAGGAGAATGGATGAGAAAGAAAAAAAAATGATTACTGGTCATCAGAAAATAAGGGAGCATTTATTAAAATCTAGAGTTTTAGAAAATACCTATAAATAGGAATATTAGGTCTTCAGAGAAGGGAGACTTTTAGGTGGACACATTTTATTTTTACAGGGACACTTTGAAAGCACAAAGAGAAAAAGAAAAAGAATTCAAGAGAGAGAGCTCAAGAACGAAAAGAAAGAGAATATTCAAGAGAGAGAGAGCTTGAGAAATGAAGAGAAAGTGGAAAGAGCTAATAGAAATCAACTGAAAGCTAAAACATAGTCCTAAAGATCAATTAGAAAGAACATATCTAGAAGGTTAAAGAAAAAATTTACTTAAAAACTTTGAGTCATCACAAATGATTCAACAAAAATAGAATCCATTTCTCTTTATCTTTTGGTAAGAATTACTATTTTTTTTTTCTTTTTGTTGTTCTTTTTTTCTTTTACTCATCCTACTCTATATGTTTTATCTTTTGTCTGTATTAAAATTTTTTATTTTTGCAAACCCTAGTTTATCTAACCTAAAAAATTTTCCTTTTCTTATAAACCTACAAAATTTCTAATTTTCATTTTAACTCTAAAATTTTCCTTTTGGCGAATCCTAATTTTTTTTCTAACATGGAAAATCCCTAATTTTTTCTACTCCAAAAATCATTCCTTTTGTAAAACCCTAAAGAATATAATTTTTCTCCAAAAACATGTTTTCAACGATAAACCCTTTTTCTTTTTTCGCAAACCTAAAAATCCTAATGTTCTTTTAACCCTAAAAGCTGTATTTGCAAACCCTAAAAAAAAAAAGCTAACCTTTTCTAATCTTAAAAACATCTTTTTGCAAATATTAAAAACTCAGCCTTTCTTAATGCTAAAATTATTTCTTTTGTTCATTTTTTTCATGAAGATATATGTATGTTTTTTTTTTTGTGTTCTAAACAAAAAGGATGGATTTATTTCTTAAAAAAAAATTAGTATTAAAAAATATTTTAAATCCACACTACGGCAAAACAATTTTGATAGAGTGGTGGATTCACCTTCAACGTTGTTTGGATTGTAAAAATTTATTGAGCAGTCATATGCTAACTTAAACTCTATGCAAAAGTGGATTTACTTAAAAATAATAATAATAAAGAAAAATCAAGTTTTTCAAAAAAAAAAAATCTTTGAAACTTATCTAAAACACAATTTTTGAAAAAAGAATTACGTAACAGTTTTGATTCTTCCGTTGTATAGAGTAATTCAAAGTAATTCTTAAAAAAATGAAATTATTGTGTTTATTTAAAAAAATTAAATAAAAAATATCAAGATAAAATGTTTTAAGGTTGTTTTATCTAATACAAAAATAAAAAAGGAAATAGTATTCTATAAATAATCCTTTATCTCAATTTAAATTAATTTTTTAATTATAATTCTTTAGTTAAAAATAAAAAATATAAAAAATGAATTTTTTAGCTTAAGAAAAATAAAGAAAATAAGTCATAATTTATTTAAATTTATTTAATTCAAAAATATAAAATGAGTAATATTTTATAAATAATTCATTTTCCAATTCTAATTAATTTTTTCAGTTCTTTATTTAAAAAATATATAAAATGAATTTTTACTTAAAAAATTAAAAAATAAAGTTAGATCTTATTCAAATTTATTTAAAAAAAAAAAGAATAACATTTTTATAAATAATTCATCCCTTTAAGTCAATTTTTTTAATTGTATTTCTTTATAAAAAAATTTAAAATCAAAACCTAAAAATAAAATTATAAAAATTAGAAACAAGGTTAAAAAATAATGACAAATTTGAAAATAATAAAAATAATATTAATGGTTTTTCTTTAGAGTGAAATAAATATTTTTAAGTAAAATAACTTCTGCACAATTAATTAAAATGGTAATCATTTTAATTAATGGACATCATAAGGTGCTAATACCTTCCTTATATGTAAACGACTCCCAAGCCCAAATTTGGTTTCGAAGATTTTTTTTTTAAAAAAAGTTTTTCCAATATTTTCTTTAATAAACTTTAGTGACAACTTTTTGTCATCGTCGTCCCGTCGTGACCTTAGTTGCGACACAATAACATGTCATTCAAATACAATTAAATCATTATTCAATTTGATAGAGGTCAAACACCCTAGAACTCAACTCCAATTGCATTTAATGCTATATCTACTTTAAAAATGTGAATCCTCTATGCTAGGGTTTGAAGTACATCACTATATAATTATTTTGTATCACACATTCTTTATATGCAAACTTCTCAAAACACAAAATATTATGCAATCACCCATTTCAAAATATATTTAACTCAAGAAAATAACTTAAATCTTGTCTTAATTATAACTTCCGCTAGAAATCATCTGATTCAAGTGATTCTTGAGTCGAATAACAAGTTTTAACATCCAAGGAATCTCTTTTTAAGTTTAGATTTTTGAAATAAATATCATAGAACCACATATTGTATAGGGCATGTGCACAAAAATGGAAGAAAATCCTGTAGTTAAAGCTTTAAATGATGGGATAAAATCCTCCTTACCTTAAAGAGAGGATTTTGTGAAGATTTTTATGGAAGAGATTGCCTAAAACCAAGTTCTTATATATTCAAAGTGGAGCACTTTTGAGAAGAGTGAAAATGGAGAAATAGAAGTGAGTTGAAAAGATTGAGCTCTAAAGAACTTACTTGGAATCAAAAGGGAAAAATGTCTAAGCTCAGATTCGAAGGCAGTTTAGGATTTAAGGGAGTTTTCTCTAGAAAAGAAAAGAGAGTTAGTTCAAAGAAAAAAGTGAGAAGTGTTTGCTTGGATTGTAATGCAAGTTTTATAATAATAATTTCTTTAAATACCTTTCTTGCTCGTGGCTTCTCGCTTGAGTGAGTGAATTCTCGCTTGAGTGGCGAGAATATTATACCAAAAAATTTATACTTTTTTTAATAATCTTTCCTGATGGAAACCTAGTCCCAAAAACTCTTCACTTTTTATGTGCCTTTTTGTCTAGACAAAAAGACAGTTAAGGCGATATTATCCATTCTTGCTTGAGTAAGAATGTCTTAAAATACATGGTCCAAAAAACTCTATTTTGCTTGAGCGAAATCCCTTACCTTTTCCAAAAATTTAACTTCTTCTATTTTATAAAAAAAAAATATAATAATAAATGATAAATAAAATAAGAGTATTACAACATAATCATTTTCTGTATATTTTTTCATAGTTGCTATAAGATTGAACGTGCAAGGTGTTTGACACTTATAAATTGGTATGAGCCTAAAATTTTCAAGTTCTTGCCACAATGTTTTTACGTGAGTGAAATACCTCGTAATTGAAAGATCATCTTGCTGATATGAATATAATTCTTCTTGTGACTGAAAATTTCAAAAAATATCTCCTTAATAATACCTTTTTCTTAGATCATTTCAAGCATCCAGTGCAGTTTCCATTTAAAGAATATTTCATCCAAAGAACAATAAATAATGGAAGAATTAAGGAATTAATTTATCTAAGATAGGTCAATTGTGTTACATCTATTCCAGGCTCTATAATGGGATCACTAGAATGAGATTTCTGCAAATTTTCATTAACAAATTGGTATTTGATCTTTAATTTCAAATTCATCATCATAGCTTTTGACCTTGAATGGTAATTTCCTCCAATAAGTGGAGCTTAAACAAGAAATGCACTTAGATTTTCATTAACATGCATGTAACAGAGGTTCGATGGTTCTTTCCAGAATTTATCATGTTAAAATTTGATCAAGAAACAACAATAAAAAATAAAAACTTTTTATTACAATAGAAGAAATAGAAGTTAGATCAAATCGAAGAAGTAATATATCTTATTTGAAAAATAAAAATGCACAGTAGAGCTCTTCTGCGAAGCTCTGTTACTCTGATACCATATTAAATTCCAACAACATTCTTTAAAGAACCTTTGATGAATCTAAGTGTTGCATTGCAGAGGAAAAAAGTTGATTTGAAGTACATAGTAGAAAATACTTGTATACAAGTCATTCAAAGAAAATAATTAATTTAAATAAAAAATAATTCAAAAGTAAAAATATAACTAAGAAACTATTCTAAAGTGAAAAATAAATCCGGAAATCCGGTTCAGATTGAAAGAAAATGAGAAGAGAAAAACAAAATTCATATCATTATGAAATACAGAGATAGTCTAAACACATTCCTTATTATTTTCACGCCCACTTACCAACTTCCTTATTCGTATTCATACCAATTACTCTCTCTCTCTCTCTCCTAGTTTCTCAATCCACAGTGGTCGCCATGACTATATATATATATATGCCGATACCCAGCCATTAATCAAACGCTAAACAATTTTTAGTTCTGTTCTATTGAAGAGGTTCTTATACCATTATCAAGTCCACCTCAAATAATGGCTTTTAACTCACCCAGGTTGGTTCTTAGGAATGTTCTTATTGAATCAGGACAAGAAGACGGAGCAACAGTTGTTAAAAAATGCAGTTTAAGGTAATCAACGTATTCTAGCTTCTTCATATCGATGTCATTCATGAAATTATGTTGTTATTATTTTGGATTCACCATTTTATATATTCATTTTATTTTGCCTTTTTATATGGTTTTACTGTATACTGAAGTAGTTTATTGTCCAATTGGTGACTTCTTATCCTCAAAAGAGAGTTGGGTTTGGACCCTTTTCTGATGTTATTTGAAATCTCATTCTCAGGTAAATTAAGTAAATTGTTATCTATATATTCAAGCTTACTTTGATTTGTTTATTCTTAATGGTTATTTTGTTCAATTGATAGTACTGATGAGCATGACTTTGCAGATACTCCTGAGGGTGGATTTATGGATCATCCACACAAAGGTGCAATATATCATTAGAAATATCAGTTAGACACCTTTTAACTTTAGATTGTATAATATGTAAATAAGTGTTTTCAATTTATACAAATACCATATGTCCTTGTTTTCGCTTTTCAGGTTTTGAGACTGTCACTTGCGTGCTGCAGGTGTGTATTATTTAAATTATTTATTTGTTTTTTGATTTGTTCGAATGTTGAGCTAACTAGAGGCGAACAAAATAAATTACACAAAAAACATAACTTTGATTTTTATGAATGTTAGGGCGCCATAGCATATGAGGATTTTACCGGTAATAAGGGTATACTAGGTATCGGTGATGTTCAGGTAAGTACTAATTATTATTTGCCTTTGCCATTAACTTTTCAGCCCATAAATTACTAGTAATTAGAAACTGGAATAAAGGATAGAGTAACTAAATAAAAAAGTATATACCAAAATTTAATAATTTAAAATTATTGAATATTCATGAATTTATTTATATTAATAAAAATTATAAAGTTTATCCATTTTTGGTTGCAGTGGATGACGGCTGGTAGAGGTATAATTCACACTGAAATGGCCGGAGGAGATGGAACCAATACAGCAGTGCAAGTCTGGATCAATTTATCGTCCCAACAAAAAATGTGACAATTCTTTTCCTATGCATTTTAATTTAATTTGTTTTCTTATAAAATATCACATTTTTCTTCTCCAATGCATCATATCATACATGAGGTGGAAGATGGGACAATGAGTAAAGTGCTCCTCGAGATTTATACTAACAAAGCTTATGTGCTGATTTTTTAGGCGTTAATTCAGTTTATTTTGATTGATCCATCACAGGTTAATTTAAATATTTGGCTAACTTAATTTTAAGGTGATTTAGAAAAATATTAACTTAGCTTAATATTAAAAAATCTTAAAAAAATTAAATCTTATTCATGATCATTTAATAAGTACAAAGACATGAATAGCAAGCACAGAAAAAATTTATTATTCTAATTTTTAATAAATAGATAGTATTAATAAAATAATAATAATTAACCTCTATTTTAGTTGTCACATGTCCCCTTTCAAATTAAAATTACTTGTAAACGTGAATAATGTGTGAATTACACTCTTTCTTTTTATAATTATTTTATTTTTACATATATGTTTATTAATTTTATTATAAATTTTAAAAATTTAAGTTATTATTATTTTATATAAAATTTATATTTTTAAAATTACATAATTTTATTGAATTGTTATATTTTAGTGCAAATTTTATATAAACTTTTATATTTTTTGTAAATATTTTTTTTTATATTTATAAAAATTATTTTATTTTTTAAAAATTTGATAAGAGTCTTGTTTCTTAAATTTATGATTATTAATATACATTATTATTGATATTTGATTAAAAGATTGACACTATATTATAAAACTATTATTTTAAAATAAGATATATTTTAAAATTAGTTACTTTTATCATATTTTTATCATTTTAATGAATAATAATTATAAATTTAAGTTAAAATAATTTTATTAAAAAATAATTATTTAAAATAATTTTATTATATATGTACAATTATTTATAAAATATATTTTTTCTTTAATTATTAAATTATATATATATATATATGCATATTCTAAAATAAAAATACCAATACATTACATAGATTACTAAACTAGTTTAAATTTAAAATTCACAGATTGACTCATTTTATTACGAATTGATCAGTGTAATTAATAAGTAAAGTGAGTTGAATAAAAAAAATTATATAAACTTAACATTTTTACAAATTAACTCATTCAAAATTTATCACAAGTTTACTCATGAATTATAACCTATTTTAATAATTTTAATTAAAAGTTTCACTTGCTAACTCAAATTATATTTTTATTTTAACAAAATATTTATATATTGTTATAAATTATTAAAATAAAATTTTAATTTTAATTAACAAATAATACTAAAATCATTGGGACATAATGAAAATTGACATATATCATTATGACATATCATTTTATAAATAAAATATTTTTTTGTTAAAAATCTTAAAATAAAATTTGTTAATTTGCAAAGTAATAATTGTAAGCTTGGTTTTTGTTCCCAAACAAACCCAACCACATTAGCGATGCCGTAACTCATACCCCACAAATGATTGAACAACGCCGCAGGTGTGCCCTTATAACAATGGGCCTACCCTTATAATTTTACCATTTAGAGCCTTGACACCTACACGACCCCTGAGGGAAGATGAATTATTGTGGAATTGAGAGGAATGAGTGGATTTATTTACAATTATTTTATCATATTATTATTTTAATATTGTTTTAATTAGTTAACTCATTTAAGAGTTGGCTAATAGACTAACGAGTTAGTCTAAAATGACCAAAAAATAAATTAAAAAATAGTAAATTGACCACCTCATATAAAATTAACATAAAAAAATTATAAAAATATTTTATATTAATAAAATTAATATTTAATAAATAAATAATTATTTTTTATTTTTTAAAAAATTAAAATGGACCCAAGTGATCAATTTTTTTATAAGCTTGCATTTAAACAGCCTAAAATAAACTTACCATTTTTAGCGAGTTAAAGCATGTCATTCATCGAAGTCTGTCCATTTTGATAACCCTAGAGTAAACTTAAAAGTTTTGATGATTGATTGTGATTGTTAGTTGGTAGTTATTTAGATGAGATGGCACTATGGTCATTATAGATAAATTTGAAGAGGATCAATATGATATACCCCAATATACATTCATCGTTCAAAAAAATAAATAAAAAATAAATCAGCAAAATAGTCACTGATATTTATAGGATGTTATAATTTAGTGTTTGAAATTTTAAAATTTATCTTTAGTCCTTTATCTTATTTTTCATCTTATAATTTAATTTTTAACAAAATTTATCGTTAATTAATATTAATAAAATACTATTTAATCTTTCACTTTTATTAATTTGTTTTTTTAAGTTCTTTTGACTTTATTTAATTTTTTTCTAATAATATCTACTTTTTCTATTGGTTTATTATTATTTTAAATAAACATCATTGTCTATTATTCCTCCAAGACCATCTCATTATGTCTAACTTTTTTTTTTTGCCACATTCACTTTCATTTTGCATGACTTTTGCTACTATTCCTTCGTTTAAATTCCATCTAGTATTTTTTACTACTCTTTCGTTATTATTTTGTCCAACAATTTCTTCTTTAACTGAATCCATAGCAACCTTACATATTTGATAACATTTTTTTTTACTTCAAAATAAATAAATTAATATAAACATGCATTTAGAAATTTTGTAAAATATGTAGTTGTTAGTATTGATATAATAAGTTATCATGTTTTCATACTAAAAAAGTTATAATAATAATATTTGAGTGCGAATGAATTTAAGATTACCATTTTGTAGTTAAAATTTTGATAACTCTATTTGATTAATTTTATATAAGTGATATGAATTTTTAAATTTTTAAAATAGATTTTTAAAATTTTCAAACATGTTCTAGCCACTACAATCTGTGGTTGGATATTTATTATAGTTGAGGATTTTTCAAGTCACGTTAACAATTGTCTAACATGATTTGGTTATTAAAATCATATTAGATTACTTTTTTGTTAAATATGATTAATTTTGCTTTTAAACTTGTATTTTAAAAGTAAAATGATGAAGTTTTACAATAACTTTTATAGTAAATTTTACTGTAAGTTTACGTTTGAAACAAAAATTTTAAAAAAAATAGCTTTCTTTATATATATATATATATATATCATATTACTCTTTGGCTTTTACCTATACTTATGATTAATTGACAGCATAAAAAAATTTTACAATATAAAAAAATTACAAAATTATTTTAGTCTTTTTAAATTTTATACAGTTTTTCGCTTTAGTTGTGGTCGAAGGTTTTACACGTTTCATATTTGTTAAGGAATTGACGATCAGGTATTACTCGGTGAATAATATTCGCGCTCTATCATCTTACTCTTGAGAGGGAGATCGAGTTATTTCTATATTAATTCATCCCTCATGACCTTTGACAACAAAGCACGTATATGAGAATGGAGAAGTATGATAGAGGGGACAAAATCGGGACACATGCCACAATAAAAATACTAATAATACATTCTCAGTAAAAAATATTAATAATACATTCACGTGTGTCTCATCTTTTTATTCTTAATTTAATAATTTTTTCATATTTTATAATTTTAAATAAATTTAAATCAATAATTAAAATTATATTAAAAAATATGTTTACTAACAAAAATAAAAATTAAACTCTTATTTTGATAGAGAGTTTGTGTATAATATTTTAATTCTGAAAAATTAAAAATATCATATTAATCTTACTTTCATCTTGGTAACATATACGTGTTATTAATTAAATGACAAAATAATGTTGACGGGTTTGGTATAATTAATTTTATTTTATTTTAGTTATTAGTATTATAGCTTGTTAGATATATTAGTCACTAAAATTATTACATACAAGCATTTTAGTCTTGAAATAGTTAGCCATGAGCATTATACAACGATCAGGTATTACTCATTTGGTTTATACCATAGGATATTACAGTTTTGGTTCAACCAAACAGATGGTACCCATTACAAATGTTTTTCTTTCCTAATAAAAATGGCATTTGAATCCCTCTGTCAGGATTGAACCAAGGTGTAATGATGTTCGAAGCAAGGACATACCAGCAGTGAAGCAAGATGGGGTAGAAGCTAGGATTTTGGCTGGAGAAGCTTTTGGAGTAAATTCACCAATTTACAACAACACTCAAATCATGTTCCTTGATTTCACTCTCATGCCAAGAGCTCAATTGCATCAACACATTCCAGAGTCATGGAATTCCTTTGTTTATGTTATAGAAGGAGAAGGGACTTTTGGCTCTCTAAGTTCACCTCCAATAAAGAGTCACACTTTATTGGTTTTGGGTCATGGAGATGGCCTATGTGTTTGGAATAATACTCCAAAGCCCTTGAGATTTTTGCTGATGGCAGGAAAGCCACTCAGTGAACCAGTGGTTCATTGTGGACCTTTCGTGATGAATACCCAATCTGAGATCGATAACACTCTTCAAGACTATCGCCAATTCAAGAACGGGTTTGAGATGGGCAAACATTGGAGATGTTAGAAGCCCTCTTGCAAGAATTAAAATTTGGAAATAAAGAATGTTTGAACTTTTAATTACAATAAATTCTGGAATTTGACAGACTTTCCTACATTTGAATAAGTTATTATGATGACTGTTCTTGTAAAGTCGTAAGAAAATCCGTTGAGTACTGTATGTTACTTTAATCTTGCTTTTTTTTAATTAAAAATTTTATTAATATGAATTTTTATGATTAAGTATTTAAAAATAAAAATACTAAAAACTTAAAATTGATTAATCTTATTTAGATGCATACTTTATTTTATGATGAAATCAAATCCATACAATTTTTATAACTAACGTTAATAAATTTTGTGTGAATTTCGAGATATTAGCACTAAAAAAATATGTTATTTATTAACAATTTAATATTAGATTAGTTTTGTTAGTGTAGGTTTTTTTTAACAAAAATTAAATTATAAGTAAAAATATTAATATATATATATAAGTATATTAAATATTAGTATAGTTTATTATTTATTAGTATAATTTTAAAAGTTTATATCAATAATTTATTTTAATTAAATAAAATATAATAGTAACAAAATGATAAATAGCTGTAGATTTAGCATGAGCGCCATCACGTATAATTGAGTAGCAATATACCTAGAATTAGAGGGAAAAAGAAAATACTCTTAACATATTATTAGTTTTTTTTTTATTAATTTTTAAATTTTTACTTTCAAAAGTTTAATGACATAGTACTTTTTTACTTATTGACATTGATTCTTTGTTACAACTTAAGTATGTTAAAGAGTTCCAACTCAAAAGATAAATTAGTTGAGAGTTTTATAACTTATAACCTTAAACTTTTCGTTTTATTCAACGTGAAATTCATAATATTTTTTAATTGGTTTTTATATTATATTCTCGAGATAAAAAAGAAATAATTTATATAGAAAAGGAAATAATATTTATACATTTTATTGTATTATTCTTACATTTTTTAATTTTTATAAAATAAAAATTACACATTTTAATATGTTTACTTTCTTTATTTTTCTTAAATAAAGTAGTGTAATAAAAAGTAAAAAACAAATAATACTATAATTTTAACTAAATTATATTTCTTGTCTTCTAAATTTTAGTGAAATTTTAATCTATCTATTCATCTATTTTTTTTATTTAATTTTTCCCTTTAAATTTAAGCTTTATTTTAGTTCTTTATTTTTTTCAATTCAATTTAATCCTCTAAATTGTTTTTCAAAGTTAAAAAATCGTTTAATTTTGTTCTGTATTTTAATATAACAATTTTTTTAAATAATAGTATTTTGAACTAATTTTTTTTACTTTATAATCATTGTTAATTCTTAGTCGTTGATCAAATCTTATATCTCTATAAGTTTTATTATAAACTCATATCTACATTAAACCCAAAATATTTTTTAAATAAGTAAAAATAAAACGATAAATTACTGGGCACATGGAGTACTTCCAGTAAAAGATACTTATAGTCTGGAGAAAAAAATTAAAAAAAAAACTTAATTCTCAAAAAATAATTTAGGGAACTACATATTAAAAGACTGAAGTAAAAGTTAATCAAACTTAAAGAGTGAAATTAAACAAATATAAAAATAAAAGACCAAATTAAAGTTTTACTACAATTTAAAAATAGAAAGTATAATTTAACCTGTAATTTTAGAATACACAGACGCACTTAGTATAACTTTTGTTGTTTTTTAAGAAAAAGAGATTGCCTTCCACAAAAATGAGTCTAGGAGGGACAATCTTGTAGATTTTTTGCGGATCTGATATGTAATCTCGACCACACACAAACCTCGCAATATCCAAAAGGGGTTCCACCTCAACAATCAAATTGGATGGACAAATATCAACGTGGACCAATAACAAGTCACAAGCCGGTATCATCACCCAATGACAATCCACGTTTGGATTTGCCTATATCCACACCACTCTCCTATATTCATTCTTGTTTCTAATATTCCCTTCCCAACACACCACACCCATTCTCACAACACCAGACATTTCCAACTCTCACAATGGCTTCAAACACATTGATGAGTTCTGCTGTCACAGCCTTTCCCTCTCTTCTTTCTTCCTCAAAATCAAGATTTGCCAATTCTCTTCCCCTTTCTTGCTTTGCTTCCAATGCCTCTTCTCGCTTCTCCATGAGTGCTGACTGGATGCCAGGCCAGCCTAGACCCCCTTACCTTGATGGTTCAGCTCCAGGGTATGCATCAATTTCTCGTTTTCTTTGTTCAGAACAAAAATGTTTAAACATGTTTTTTTAAATGTAAGATTTGAAAGTTAAACATTTTTCTTAGAATCAAAAAATTATTTAATCCTTGAAAACAAATTTCAATAATGTTGGAGTTGTAGTGATTTTGAATTCGTTGTTGGGTGGGGTTTTCTTAATTTTTTTTTGCTTTGATGATGATTTGTTTATGCGTGTTGTCCTTTTGTGTTTCAGTGACTTTGGATTCGACCCGCTTCGTCTTGGTGAAGTACCTGAGAATCTCGAGAGATTCAAAGAGTCAGAACTCATTCACTGCAGATGGGCCATGCTTGCAGTCGTAAGTGTCTCTTCTAAAATACTAGCAGATCCCTTTTTCTCCTTTTAGCTAACACAATTAATTACACCTGAAAGTATTTATCATTTCTGAATCCGAAAGACGTGTATGTACAATCTATTTCTACATGGTTGAGTCACTACGGTCAATGGTAGTTTTTAGCATTCTCAGTCTAAAATCCTTTGCTAATATTTTTACTTAAGAGGCAGTATATAAAACTAGATACCCTGAACCTCAACCTCAATGATGTGATCATTTGTTGCCTTTTATATATATGGATTTTACAAATGAGATTAAGTGTCCCTTTATGGTTAAAAAATTAACTACCACATTTTCCACTGAAAAAATATCTCTTTTGATTAAAATGGAAACAAAATTTGGGTATGCTAAAAGTTGTTATATTTCGCAGCCAGGGATTTTGGTACCAGAGGCATTGGGCTTAGGCAATTGGGTAAAAGCTCAGGAATGGGCAGCAGTTCCTGGAGGCCAAGCAACCTACCTTGGAAACCCTGTTCCATGGGGCACCCTCCCCACCATTCTGGTCATTGAATTTCTTGCTATTGCTTTCGTTGAGCACCAAAGGAGCATGGAGAAAGACACAGAGAAGAAGAAATACCCTGGCGGTGCTTTTGATCCTTTGGGATACTCTAAGGACCCTAAAAAGTTCCACGAATACAAAGTCAAAGAAATTAAGAATGGTAAGGACTTTCTTAGCCATAACATTTCTACTATTTGATATTAACATAACATTAGGTTGGTGGGTAGGAAATTGACCTGATTTGTTCCGTGTTCAATGTTTAGGACGTCTTGCTCTGTTGGCTTTTGTGGGGTTCTGTGTTCAACAATCAGCATATCCCGGAACTGGACCGTTGGAGAACTTGGCCACTCACTTGGCTGATCCGTGGCATAACAACATTGGAAATATCATTATTCCCCAATCGATTTCGCCCTGAAAATTCCAATCTTTTCTTTAATAGCTACCTGTAAAACTGCATGTAACATTTTGTAATGAATCAGATCTCGCTATGTTGGTGTCCTGTGTTGTAATTAAACCTTTAATTAATGTTTCAAAATTCACACTTTGTTAAGTGGCCACTCGTTCGTATCAGAGACAGGCTTAGCTAACTTGCAAGTCTAGGCCATAATTTCAACGATGTAAGTTATATTGGTATAAGAGATACTGAGACTATCAATTAATATTAACACTGTTACATTACATTCTGAAATCGTAAATTCCCTCAGCAGCATAGTGAACATTGTCATTATAAGGATCACTCATGAAACTTGCGAGTGCTGAATTATGTGAAGTTCCCTTAATTGCCTTATATTCATTCCACCAAGTCATGTAAGCTGCTTTCCCTAAAGAAAATCTCTATTGACAAATTATAATCTGCAAGCAACTCATAAATATACTCCCCGAATTCAAACAACTTTATAGTTGCTTCTTCATTGACACTATATTGAACACCCTTCAATTGGTTGCACCAAAGAAGAGCCTCTTTAACATGTGCCTAAGCAACAATCAAAAGTTGTTGGTTTTATGGTAAAAAAGCAAAATAAAGTAAAGAAAAAGAAAAATGCAAAAATGTGAGAAGAATAAATGAAGAAAGAACTCAACTTTTATTCAATAGCAACAATGCATTTATAATAAGTCAAAGAAATTTAAATTAATTGCGTAACTAAAAGATTTGATAAAAAATTAAATTATTTCTAAAATATCGAAATGACTTATTGACTATGATACTAATATAATAAACTAAAATAACAAAAAACATCATATAGTAGTTTCAAAAGCATATTGTTAACACTTGATGTAACATATTTTATGTTTACATTTAACGTTTTATTTTGATTAATAAACACTTTTTATATTCTTTATTTTTATAATTTTCACCATTTTCTACTTATTTGAATAAATTGGGCTTATTACAAATAAATGCTTTAATTTCATATTTTCGGTTATGTGACCTATGACTACTCTTTTGGCTACAACTTTTTCTACATATATCATTTTTGGTTGATTCTAATTGTATTGGATTCTACACATCTAGGGCTTCAAAATGCATATATGGATCGCTGGATTTGGAGTTATTTTCAATTTTTTATGATTTTTTGAAGTTGAGACAGATTTGTTAAATATTGTTGCGGGATTGCATTTGGACCCTTATTATTTAATAATTTTATTTGGGCTTTTAGATATTATTGAGGCCCGCATTTTGGCTACTTAATTTACTTTAATCAGAACCTATTAATAGACTAATAAGGTTCTAAATTTGGGGAGGATTAGACACTTTGAGCTTTTGAGATTAGGCCGGAATAAGAATCCTTGTTTTACTTTATCTCGAACTCTCTTGTTCTTTTCTCATTCTTGCGTGGGTTAAGCGTTTCGATGGAAAACTAAACCTCTCGTTCAATCTGCGAAATCCAAACGTTGTAGTTCCGACTTGAGTT